GCTTCCTGGTTGAGGCTCCGTGTTATTTCTACATTGCCTCCTCCTATTTTTAATTTCTCATGCCATTTATTCGTAGCCTTGTTGGGGTATAGTTTTGTTATACTCTTTTTACTGTCATTTCATTTGTGTCGCAGGCATTTGTCCACGTGGATAATCTGTTTATTTGCGTACAAATAATTAAATAAATGAAAAATTCAATAAGCTGCCCTTTGCTTCCACCTCCTTAGTGGACACAGGGGCAGCTGGATGCGCATGGGCGACGGTCACCTCGGGCGTGCGAGGACGCGCGCGGCAAATTGCGCGGCGAAGTTCGTGACGATTTGAACGACTCTGACACCAATTTTCGGGCACAAACTCGAAGTAGACAAGTTTAGCAGGGTCAGATTATCCTTCTAATCTCTCTACTTCAAATTTGGGCCCCAATGTTGAACGCCGCTGTCATCCAAATCGCCACGAAATTCGCCGCGCAGTTTACCGCGCGCGTCCTCGAACGCACGAGGTGACACATACCCGGTGCGCTTCGTTCCGCGCGTCCGTCAAAACTACGTCATGCCGCTGCCGTCGCACGCGGCGGGTCAGCCCGCAATACTTTACGGACGTCGCGGTTGTCAGAGGGGCATACGGATTGCGCTTGGCCCACGGCGGTCAGCATAAAGAGAAATTAATACGGACTAAAGCGAATCATTCGCTCAACTGACAATGAGTGGTACTTTAATGTCATCTCGGAATGGGCTGCGCCACGCGCGAAGTGGACGGGTGACCTAGTTTCCACGGTCGCGCGGAACGGACGCTTCGTGGAGCAGCTTAGGAAATGAGCTCCGGGGACCATATGTTTCATGGATGAACGGATGTATGATGTGATGTAGACAGTAGGCGCTACACCAGTCTTTGAGCTGATGTCATTCTGCCTTATGCATTCAACACCAGAATGCCTCCTTACTGATACAGAACCAAACCCTGTCCCATATCTTTGCAATTTCGTGTTTTTTTGCGGCTTGTTGTGCTGAAATTGGACAATCTTATGCCAGTCGTCAGAGCGAGCTCGAGCGAACATCTATCGGCCGTATTTCCTTCATTTGCATCTCCGTAAACAATTTACTCATGCACATCATTTATATAATTTTTAATGACGGCCATCAAACTAAAAACTTCATCGTTGACGTCATTACTTCTCCTGAAAATAGTCGTAGTTCAGTAACGGACAGTTATCTTGACGCGTAGGCTACTTCACGACACTCACTTCTTTCTTCTCTTCATCCTTCTTTTCATCCTTCTTTTCTTCATCCTTTTTCTCATCTTTCTTCTCTTCATCTTTTTTCTCCTCTTTCTTTTCATCCTTCTTCTCCTCATCTTTCTTCTCATCTTTCTTCTCCTCATCCTTCTTTTCATCCTTCTTTTCTTCATCCTTCTTTTCTTCTTTTTTCTCTTCTTCTTCCTAAAGGGAATTGAACGTTTAGTCACATGAGCTCTGTGGATTCGAGAGTCAGGGAACCTTTTTGAAGTCGATGTAAAGACGTTTTGTTCCTTCTGGATCTCCCTTGTGATCTGCCCATGTTGCTCGAGGTGCCTAAAGCAGAGAACTGTTAATGGTAAAATGTTGAATTGGAAGTAACTGAGGTAAAAACCTTCTTTTCATCAGGAGCTTTGATATAGTAAACAGCAAAGTAGTGTTTGCCGCTATCAGGAACGGTTTTACCGGCATTGAACGTCAACTGAAACGTTTTATTTCAATTGTTTTGTAGTGATTAATACCATGGTTTTCAACACAATCTACGCTCCACGCCCACAATTTACTTTGAAATGACCGAAAGGTATCTCCCGGAGTTTCTTCAATACTCCAGACTTTTTCTGAACTAATCTGGAAGTTTCCATGTTGTGTAGTGATAAGTGACGCTCTATCACAAACGCATGGTCACGGGTTCGAATCCCGGTCTGGCATGCGCCTAGGCCATCAACATTCGGTTCCTGTGGTGTCGCCTAACTGGTACCGGACTCGTCTGGGAGGATAAACGCACTGACTTGTACATCGGCTGGTCACTGCAAGTCATTGTGTAGGCCACATACGCATTCAATCCCTCATTACAATTCTGAATGGAAGTCGAAGGCGGTGGCGCATCCTTCAGACGGGCTTGATTAGCCCCCTCAGACTTTATTCTTTACCCTTCTGATGACCGAACTATCTCACTGCATAATCGACAGGCACTTTTTAACAAGATCGAATCTATCCACTCCGTTGCTGAAGCTCATCGAAACGTGCGTCAATGTTTTGTACTTGAAGCACCTTTTCAGCGATCCTTTGCTGCCTGGTTCCACGTTTTCCAGAAACAGGAGAGTCGAAGATGAGCTTCAATCTGGCCAACTGACGGCGGTGCGAACACGGTCACAGCTATTCCGAAGAAGAGGGATTTTGTGTAGAAGCGGAGCCTTAGGAGCCTTCGCAAGTTGACTGTTGTTGACGAAATGGCTGGAATCAGGACTCGCCATCAATTCGAGCCTTTTGTTATTTATTGGTTCCGTGGGAAACGCTTGCTTGCTACGCGGACAAGTGGTGGTCGTTTCTCAGACTGCTACATATTCATTGGACTTCTTCCAGGGTGTTATTTTGGTTGTGGATACTTCTTCCCGAAAATCGCGTCGCGCTCGCCGCACCCGTTGGCAATGATAAAAATTTTCAGGGGTAGGATACGGTAGCCGCCGCGGAACCACTGCCGCTTGCCGTGGGAATTCCGGTAGAAGTACCGTAACCGTGTTATTTTCAATCCGAACGGCGTATCGCGTCTGCAGCACTTGATTACGAGCAGCCGTGGACTCTGAAAGGTAAGATTTCGAACTCCAATGAGAGATTACGGTAATGGCTAAGAAGCCGCTACCGCGTGCTCTGGGAAAAATACCCTTAGGATTACATGTTCAACCTTATATGCCTGTTGGATGGCAAGATACAGGCCTGAGACAAGCGAGAGGTAGGAAGTTGTCCCGCGATTCTTCTTCGTGGTCCGCACCTCTGGGCATGGGATGACAAACATCTCAGTCTGATGCCTCGACAACATCCTTCCTCTTCTTCTTGGCTGAATACCGAAGAGCGGACAGAATCAATCCTTGATCGAGCGGAAAATATCACTATATCTTATCACTTTTGTGGATATCCCCTATTCTCCGATCTGCAGAGACGTAGACCGCTGTCCATCGATCGATATGTATCAAATTGCTTACGGGATCCTATGCCTTCTGGCTCTACTATTTCTAACGCTGTCCTGAGATTGAAATCGATTGGCAAATAGTTTTTCGAGCGCATTCCTTATTTCTTCCTTTCGACAAAAGGTCAGAATGTGCCGTAAGGTGAGCTTCCGTTGATTGGCATTCTAATAGTAAGATCGGTGTGTAAAGTAACTTTTCCAGGGCTGTTGCTTCTTGAAAGTGAGCGTTTTTGGTGATCAGACAGGACCTTTGGATTTATCGTCAATAAAACATCTGCAATCTAATTCCCCTGAGCATTTTTCGGGAAAATGGCCTTTACACTTCTGACTGGTAGCTTTAACTCACCGAAACAGTGACACTATCATCAGGTTTTAGAGCTCCAACAGGTGGCCGAATGCGAAACATTTCGTTTGATGTGCATTTTACCTGGTAGTAAAGGATGTCAGCTACGGTTCAAGGTGTTCAACGGCCATAATTTTACTTACCTTGTATGCTACTCTATCCTTCAGCGTGTTAGTGATCTTGATACTCGCCTGTGTTGCTTCTTCACCAAGTTTTTTACCGCTGAAGATGATTTTGTCCGATGGTTCGAGCTGCAGTTTGAAGTCGCCCATCTCAGCACTAGATACTCGAAAAAATGAACCTCACCCAAGCCAGTTATCTCGTGTTGAAATCTGGGAAACAATCAAAACATCCACTTATCATTCACTATCGGCCAGCAAACGTTTTATTCACCTTGATTGCCGCCTCTAAGATGTGGTAGGGGAAAGGGTTTCGGATGTAAGATCATGTCTAATGGTACTTAACGATGTAGAAAAACGCTTCAGATCCCTTCTGATTCCTCTAGTGCCGTTTTTACTTACTCTCGTTTCAAAGTGACTCAAATTATTTTTGTCGGAGTGTCCTGTGGGCCTTGATGGATGTGGTGCAGTTGATTCGAAACTGTCGCGTCACGTCGAGAGGTACGCCGTGCGCGAGGGAATGTAGCGGAATGCAGCAGCAGGAAAAAATACCGTGTCAAAAGAATTAACACTAGAATCATGCCCAAAATAACGATCGCATATCGATTGAGCTGTAGCCGCATAAGAACGCTGGAGCTGTAGT